TCCAGGTCCTGGAATGTATAAAGTCCTCTGCTAGGGGAGGGAGGAGGGAAAGATAAATAGAGATCACGCCCGTCTTCATGTTGCTTGTGACAGAGAGGTTGGGTTCCTTTTAGCCCCTTCTTGCATCAGGAGAACAGGCTATAATGGAAATGAAAGAACATTGATTTTATACATACAAATAAACTTTATAATACTATTGAGTCCAGGGCCTTATACATGGAATATCTCATAAATGCCTGTTAGACAAACAAAAATGATGTAGCTAAATTAATGGAGAACACAAAGATGAATTTAGATGGGCGCTTTTTCATCTTAAGTTGGGATAGAGGTGATGTCACTGACTCTGGGTGAAGGGGAAGGGAGCCAGTGTATTTTCTACACTAGATACTCCACATGTGTCGTTTCTGTCCTGTAACAACCCTGCGAGGTATTATTATTTTATAGATGGGGAAACTGAGGCTTAGAGTGTTTTAAGAACTTGCCCACAAAGTAGCAGCAAAAATACAGCTAGTAAGCGGCTGAACTGGGAATCAGCTCCTTGTTGATGTGTATCGAAGTCCTGGGTTCTTTCTTAGAGCAGTGGTCTAGAAACCTGGATCTTTAAAAAAATACAGATCCTGGGGCCAGAGTGAGTATCTCTGAAGGTGGGACCCAGGCCTCTGTTTTTAAAACAAAACAAACTTCTCCAGTGAGTCAGATAATCAGTTTTGGAAACCACCTGCAGTAGAGTGCACCTTGGGAACTTGAGAGAGAGAGAGAGAGAGTGAGTGTGTGTGTGTGTGTGTGTGTGTGTGTGTGTGTGTGTGTGTGTATGTATTTGTGTGTAGTCATTTGCCAAGCGGGGATTCAGATATTCTTAGCAGTCATTTCCTGGTTTTTATTTCCGATCACATCTGCCAATCAACTTTATAGAAATCAAAGACCCAAAATGATTTACTTTGGTCCTCTTTATCAGCATGTTTGTATTACAGCTGGTGTTTATCTGAAAGTACTGGGATAGGTCCACATTTCTGCTAGCTGCCTGGGGGTAGAGGCCAATCCGAGATTAGCTCAGTGAACAGTTGTGGAGTGGCTGCTCTAGGGGCCAAAGGAAGCCGGATGGGGACTGTGTCCCAGGCCAGGGGACAGCTGCTGCTCAGCTCTGAATCGATTTTCATGCAGAAATGAGGGCCTGGTGTTTAAAAAATCTTCTGATTCTGATTTTTAAAGAGAATCCAGAAGTCTGGATTTTTTATGAGAAAAGCTCCCAATTTTAAAAGAGTTGGCAGAAATTGTAAATTAAAAAAAAAAATTCTAAGGTTCAAACAGAACCCACTTAAGGGACTTCAGTCCCTGATGCCAGTTTTCATTATCTGGTCTCCTTTGTGAGGTTTTAGTGATGGCAGATGGTGTGATCTGAATCTTTTTATAAAAATGCAACCTTATTCTAGACCAAATGTGAGGAATACTGGCCCTCCAAGCAAGCTCATGACTATGGGGACATAACTGTGGCAATGACATCGGAAGTTGTTCTTCCAGAATGGACCATCAGAGATTTCACAGTGAAAAGTGTAAGTAAGAGGTCAAGATGGGTAGATCTCATAAAATTACCACATACTAATATCAGTATGAATATTAATGTTAACATTAATATTAATTAATATTAATAATTAATATTTCTCAGATAATACTGAGAAGTATAACTTCCATGCTTCCTCCCTCTCCACCCCCCTCATCTCTCGCAGCTGGTTTCTTTCTTTGGATGAATACTCTTGGTTAAAGTTGTGACTGTTAAGTTCATTTGTGATGAGACCTCCTAGTATCCTCTCCCCTCATTCTGCCTTTTTTTCCGTGCTGTTTTCTAAATTTTGAATATTCTCAATTCATTGCTCTTATAATGAATATACATTTTTTAAAAAATGAGCTTCAAAGGTGGCTGTCATAAAGGAGATGGAAATGCCTGCGGTCCAGGTGCGGGTCGCATGGGTAAGGTCAGTCCCCGGGGGTGGGTGTAATGAGCACAGCTGAGTCAGGGACGGGACCGGCCCTGGCCGGTGTGGAGTTCTGGTAATCGAAGGTACGTGCTTTGGTCTGAGGTAGGAACCCAGTCTGTATAACAACTCTCTGTTATGA